TGAACGACTTTTCTTCTCTTGCTTTTAGATAGTGGTGACTCGGTATTCTTATGGGTTTGAACGACTTTTCTTCTCTTGCTTTTAGATAGTGGTGACTCGGTATTCTTATGGGTTTGAACGACTTTTCTTCTCTTGCTTTTGGATAGTGGTGACTCGGTATTCTTATGGGTCTGAACGACTTTTCTTCTCTTGCTTTTAGATAGTGATGACTCGGTATTCTTATCGGTTTGAATCTTAGGATGAATTTGGTCAGCTAGGGGATGTTGAATGCCTTTGTGCTTGTGCATCACTTCGGTCAGTACAGAGGACTCTTGTTGCTTTTCCTGGTTACTTGCTATCGGTTTCATTTCATCTCCTGGAAGGGTGGTTATCGAACAAATGGCTGGTATTCTTCTTTTGCAATAGTGTTTCACAGGGATATCATGGACGCGATGCATAGTTAAAAAATACTTCAAAAGTTTGCTAAAGAGTTGCGCGATCAGTTTACTCGAAGGTACTTCCAACTGAGTGTATAGAAAAGTTTAGAAAGCGCGTTCTTAAAGTAGAGTATTGACTTCAATCGTTTTGTTCTTGAGTACTTAACTCAGCTGTTTGATTGTTCTTTGTGTGTGATACACAATAGCTTTGCCTGGACTTGCCCGAACCCACCTCGAAAATAATAGCTCACCACTTGCTCGTCCTTTAGCCCACCATTTTATGGTAATAAGTAATAAAATAATTAAATCCACCGCATATCATACACGTAATGCATGACGTATTCGAACATAATTAAATCCTCCGCAAAATACTCGAATCCTCCGCAGAAATTAATAAATCCTCCGCGAAAACCGGGGTCGTGCGGTGCGGCCTATACTACTACCGAGAGGAAAGTGTCCGGATTAACAGGGTGTAAACATGCCTTTAGTAGGCTATAGGTATCTTATCCAGTGGAGCCTCATCAATACGAGCACCGAGAGGAAAGTGTCCGGATTAACAGGGTGTACACATGCCTTTAGTAGGCTATTGTTATCTTATCCAGTGGAACCTCACCAATACGAACACCGAGAGGAAAGTGTCCGGATTAACAGGGTGTAAACATGCCTTTAGTAGGCTATAGGTATCTTATTCAGTGGAGCCTCATCAATAATACGAACACCGAGAGGAAAGTGTCCGGATTAACAGGACGTACACATGCCTTTAGTAGGCTATAGGTATCTTATCCAGTGGAACCTTATCAATAATACGAACACCGAGAGGAAAGTGTCCGGATTAACAGGACGTACACATGCCTTTAGTAGGCTATAGGTATCTTATCCAGTGGAGCCTCATGAATACGGACACCTTTAATGAAAGTGTCCGGATTAACAGGGTGTTAACATGCCTGTGTAKTTGGCTATCGGGGTCTTTTTTACGGCAAACGGAAAATTTAACGGGTTAATGAAAACCATTTTATTGAATAACAAGTAAAGAATATTTTTATTCGCCTTAGTCTAGTCAGTACCGATTASCAATAAATCGTTCACAAGTAATCGAAGCTCTCGGAATCAGAGCAGTTTAAAAACTCAGTGGGGAGCAAGGAATAGTTAGGATCGAARCTTAAATTCTTGACCTCACATCAAGCGGCGGGGACAATGCATTACACAATACAACTTTATTAAACATGTAAGCATGAGGGCTTTTCAACAAGAGCGAAACTGTYGTGAAACTGAGCGTTTAGATCTATGATCCTAGTAAAATGCAAGTGATATGGGTGAACGACTGTTGTCTATCATTTCCCACGGTGGCATAATGTCTAGTCCAGGCTTGAGGCTAATCAGTTTCATAAAAGTTCTACGACTGCGTGCTCTTATTGTCGAGGCTATATATTAGGATTAATCATCGTTATTATGAAAATAACCATCATTAACACTATCAATATTCAAGAGGACCGTCACCTCACTCCGTACCTAATTCTTTAACATTTTGACACTGATTTAGTTGACTTACCCAAGGTTCACACTTGAAACGCAATTACAAGCAGATTAAGGTACGCATGCGCAGTACTGCTTGTTTACATAAGAAATATTTTTGTCTTCCATTTTTATAGAGATTTTGCACCATCACTAGCCCAAACCATAATACAGCCTGGACTGCCTGCAGTGAGATGGCAAAACAATAAAATCCCTTTGCTCTTGGGAATTGTGTAAGTTACTCCATACAACAAATCGGTTTACTTGTTAAAAATGCAAGCACAAGAAAATGAAAAATGTTTCCATTCAAAATATCTTTATTTGTACAATTACATTGACAAGAGCAGAGAAAACGTGTATAGATTWAAAAAATTAAAAAACCTATTTGTGCATGTCTTCTAAAAATAGCGGACGCGAATCGAATTTGATGACATAGTTTAAATTTGTCCGAGTTGCTAAATAATAATAATAATGATAATATTAATATTAATAATAATGATAATAATGATAATAGGGTCATTCCTTGTGTTTGCGTTACTCTAGTTCACAAGTTATTTTGTTTGTGCTTGCATTTGCGTTGCTCGTTTCAACCAAAGCTTAATCTCGAACTGTAGTGTCATATGATTAGAATGGAGTTTCCTCGTTTTTTGCTTTGTGTATRGTGAGGTCCTTTTCTGATATTTCCGCTTCTTTGTTCTCCGATCCAACRACGATGGGTGCATTCTCCCCAACGAGGTCTCCTTCAGATAACTTGCCAACGACTCCTGAACCAAATGCATCTCCCATGATGTTGGCAGCAGTACGGAATCGATCACTAAGATAAAACAAGTGAACTGAAWTGAGCACAGACACTTTAATAGACCCCTTGCAGCAATTCAGTTCCAGAGAAGCTGAGTTCGCAAGGACAAAACAATTACTCTTAATTCTCTTGAGAGTGAAATTCTATTGATTTGTCCTCCAAAGTGAATTGCGCTGGACATTACTACAATGAGTATTT